TTCTATGTTTCCATATTAATTTCAGCATCATTTTTTCTATATCTGAGAAGAATGTCTTTGGTATTTTGGTATCGCACTGAATCTGTAAAGTGCTTTTGGAAGAGTGGACATTTTGATGATGATTCTTTTAATCCATGATCATGGAAGATTTTACCTTTTTTGTCTCTTTTGCTTTCTTTAATGTTTTGTAATTCTCATTGTAGAGAGATCTTTGACATCCTTGGTTAAATTTATTCCAAGGTATTTGATATTTTTTGTAGCTATTGTTAATGGGATTGATCTTAGAAGTCTTTCCTCAGGCGTGGCATTGTGTATACAAATGCTATTAACTTCTGTGTATTGACTTTATATCCTGCTACTTTACCAAACACTTCTATGAGTTCCAGTAGTCTCTTGGTGTAGTCTTTTGGATCTCCTATATATAGAATCATGTCATCTACAAATAGGGATAGTTTAACTTCCTCTTTCCCAATTTGTATCCCTTATGATTTCTTTTTCTTCCTAATGGCTCTGGATAAAACTTTCAAGACTATATTGAATAGCAGTGCTGAGAGTGGGCATCCTTATCTGGTTCCAGATCTCAGTGAGAATGCTTCCAGCTTTTCCCCATTCAATATGACGCTGACCATGGGTTTGCCATAAATTGCCTTGATTGTGTTGAGGGATGCTCATTCTATACACAATTTGCTTAGAGTTTTCATCATGAAAGGACATTGTATTTTATCAAATGCTTTCTTGGCATCTATTGAGATAATCATGTGGTTTCTGTATGCATCACATTTTTATTTTCATTAATTTTATTTTTTTGTTCCAGTGTCTGATTTTTTAAAAAAATTATTTTACTCTCTAACTTCTCATTCTGGTAACTTACTATTTTTATTACTTTTTTGAATGCTATGTACAATATTTTCTTGAAGTTTGCTGAACTTCATTAAAGGTATTTTGATTTGTCATACATATGCTGATTTCATTTTCATTGGATAAATTCCCAGGAGTGGAATGGCTGGATCATAAAATAGGTCTATATTTAGCCTTCTGAGATAGCTCCACATTGTCCTCCACAGTGGTTGTACCAGTTTACATTCCCACCAACAGTGGATTAAGGTACCCTTCTTCCCACATTTTCACTAGCATTTTTTGTTTGTTGATTTCTGATTGAAAGCCATTCTAATGGAGGTGAGGTGAAACCTCATTGTGGTTTTGATTTGCATTTCCCTGATGGCTAGTGATCCTGAGCAGTTTTTCATGTGTCTGTTGGCTATTTGAATTTCCTGTCTTGAAAAATGTCTGTTCAGGTCCTTTGCCCATTTCTTAACTGGGTTGTTTCTTTTGTAGTTATTTAGTTTCTTGAGCTCTTCATAGATTCTTGAAGTTAATCTTTTGACAGTTTCATAGTTTGCAAATATTTTCTCCCAATCTGTTGGTTGCCTCTTCACTTTGAGTGTTTTTGCAGTGAAGAAGCTTTTCAGTTTGATGTAATCTCACTTGTTAATTTTGGCATTGACTTGTGCTTCTGGGGTCTTTGCAATAAGGTCTTTCCCTATGCCAATGTCTTGTACCATTTCCCCAATGTTCTCTAATAATATAATGGTGTTCCAACAGTCTCTTTGTGGATTCTTTTGGGTTCCCTATATGTAGAACTATGTCATCAGCAAATAGCGATAATTTTACTTCTTCCTTCCCTATTTGTATCCCTTTGATTTCTTTTTCTTGCCTGATGGCTCTGGCGAAATCTTCCAGGACTACATTAAATAGCAATGGTGAGAGTGGGCATCCTTGTCTGGTTCCAGATCCAAATAGGAATGTCTCCAATTTTCCCCCATTCAGTAGGATTCTGGCAGTGGGTTTGTTATAAATTGGTTTGATTATATTGAGGAATGGTCCTTGTATACCAAGTTTGCTTAAGGTTTTCATTATAAATGGATTTTGAATCTGGTCAAAAGCTTCCTCTGCATCTATTGAGATAATCATGCAGTTTCTGGTCTTCAGTTTGTTAATGTGGTTTATTACATTTATTGATTTTTGGATGTTGAACCATCCCTGCATTCCAGGGAGAAATCACACTTTATCCAGGTGAATGATCTTTCTTATGTATTGTTGGATTCTATTGGCTAGTATTTTGTTGGTTTTTTTTTCTTCTATGTTCATCAGGGATATTGGTCTATAGGTCTCTTTATCATACCTTTTTTCTGGCTGACATATTATGGTGATACAGGACTCATAGAAGGAGTTTGGAGGAGTCCCTCCTTTTCAATTATTTTGAAAATCTTTAGAAGAATTGGGATTAGTTCTTCTTAAATTTCTGGTAAATTTGGTAGTGAAGCTGTTGTGACCTGGGCTTTTCTTTGAGTCTATAATAAAGACCCTTCTAACAATCTCTGTCTTGGTTATTGATCTGTTTAGGTGCTTTGTGTGTTCATGATTCAATTAAGGTAGGTTTTATGTGTCTAGGAATCTATTCACTCCTGATTTGTTGGAATACAGTTCTTTGTAATAATTCCTGATTATTTTTTTCCTATGGTATCTGTGATACCCGTTTTCATCTCTGATTTTATTGATTTGGGTCTTATCCCTACTTTTTAATCTGGGTCAATGATATGTATTTTCTTTAAAAAAACAGCTCTTCATTTCATCTTTTATATTTTGTTTCAATGTTTTTATTGAATTTTCTTTCCTCCTACTAATTTGGAGTTTGGTTTGTGTTTTTAGGTCCTTGAGATGCAGTAACAGATCATTTATTTGGTGACTTTCCAGTTTCTTGATGTAGGCACTAATTGCTATAAACTACCTCTTAACACTGCTTTTGCTGTATCCCATAAGCTTTGAGATGAGGTATTGTCATCTTCATTTGTTTCCAGAAACTTTATTTCTCTTGATTTCTTCAATGATACACTGTTCTTTCCACTTTTGGTGCAGCCAGCCGTTCTCCCAGCTGAGGAATGCACAGGTGTTGGTCCTAGTGCTTAGCTCTCACCACACCCATGTATGAACTGCACATATGATCTATGGAATCTTTCCTGTGAGTATAGTTCCCTCTGCTATGAGCTGCTCTAGGCAAGTGAGGAGCTCTGAGTGTGTGGAGAAGCACTCTGTGCTTGCCTTGAACCTAGTCACCCTCTGCTGCCTCTTATGCAGTCACAGTATTTTCAGCCTCAGATACCAGGGTTCTTGGGGTCATGGAGTGCCAGTGGAGCCATCCCACCCTACTAGCCAGTCCTGTCTGCAAGAAAACTAAGGTGCCTTCACAGCCACTATCTGAGTGTTCCAGTCTGCTGGATTGAGTCTGGTACTCCTAACCAGATTTGATATCAGTGGGGAACACAGGTTCTTTCTGAGAGAAAAGTTGTTCACTTCACAATTGTACTGGGTGCATAGGAGAGTCCTCTGGGTGGGCACTTCTCTTCTGTAAGGGTGGCTCTCCCTCGCATCCCATCAATGGGGTGTGTGCAACTGGCATGGTGGAGACCTTCTCCTTTGGTTTCTCCTGAATTGCTGTGGTTGCCCTCACCAACTGATGGAGGGTGACCCCAGTAATTGCTGGGTGCATGAACAGGAGCTGGGGTGGCTGCTATCTGCCTATGTCCAAAAATGGTGCCAGTCCTCCCACCACTGGCTACAGGTCTGTTGTAGCAGAGAGGGGGAAAGGGAGAGAGGCATGCCACCCACACCCCCACCTCTGGGGAATCCAGGTGGAACCCTAAAGGGTGCTATTCACTAATCTCTCCCTCCAACTGTATCAGCATCACCATGGGCCCATGCAGTCTGCTCTCACCTAGTTTGCTAGAGTGGGCACCTTCACCCCCCCCCATCCAAGCTGAGGGGTCTTTTGTGTTGTGTCTGCCCTTACAGCATGGGTAAGGACTATTTCTACTGCTTTCTCAGGATCTTCCATTGCAGTTTCCCTGAAGCTTTACCCTGAGTGTATTTTCTCTCCTTTTTAATATTAGTCTTGCTAGATTAAATCAGACTGTCCTGTCATTAGTCTGCCATCTTGGAGCCCTTCAATGTGTCTTTTATTATGAGGTGGCCTCTCATCAGGTTTCCCTCATTCTTGTCAAGGTATTTTCATGTGAAGATAGTTGTTCAAATGCAGGGGAATGATCACTGGAGTCTGTTCTGCCATCTTGCTCTGTTTTTTTCCCAACCTTCCCCCCTATTTTGTATAAAAATATCATTCATTCTCTCAAGAATTGTTTCCTACTGAATATTTTAATATTCTCATATATAAATATATGGATTTTCTTACCTCTTATACCCATTTTATAAGATTTGACAAAGATGAGAATACATTTGCATTTAAACAACTGAAGATATAAGTCACAATCCACCTCACATATATATAAAAGTTGCAACTACATATCCCATGCATTTAATAAATTTCCTTTGTATTTGTTAAATTGATGTGTTCACAAATATCTTAATAAAAAGTGGATATTTAACTACCAGGGGAGGACATGAAGGGTCTCATCTTACCAGTATCTTTAGAGTGATGTTCCTTCCAATTTAAAAAGGAAACCATTTATCAACATGCTTTACATCCATTATCCTTCCAAAAAGGTGATATCTTACTAGGAGTTTTCAGTAGGAATGTTCAACCTTTGCCCTGGTAACTGGCATCAGGAGGACAAGTTATTCTTTAGTATCCAAGCAGGCTGGTTACTATGGCTTTATTCTGTATTCCTCTGTGTGTAAAGCACAAGGCAGCATCTAATCCATCTGCCCTTTCTATCTTGGAGATTTTGGGGACTCATACTTCCACAGTAAGTGAACTTCTCCAAGCTGAGAAAGGCAGGATCACTCAATGTGTCCCCCTCACAGTCTTGAACTCAAATCCTGCTGCTGTAATGGATGAAACCAAATGTCTTGTCTTCTTCCTGTCAATTTTAACAAATTATTTTGAAGAACAAGTAGCCAAATTTTAATTCAAAGAAATAAGGATAGCTTCAGACAGAGAATTAAGGTAAACACTATGGGACACAATAATAACCAAAGTACAGGAATTTAAGGGCGAACACATTTTAATGGTTGAAAACAATCTTTCTGAGATGAGTATAAATGCAAGAAATATTACAAGACATAACTAATTAATGCAAATTCTACTCCCTGAAATCTCTTGTGCAGAAATTCCTTTATCATTTATCTTAATACCCAGACACATGCTGAGGTTGCCAGGCCTAAGTTGGAACTGAGCAGGGAGGCCCGCATCTCCGATATCCAGAAGAGATCCAGAACGTGGAAAATGACAAAGTCCTTAAAATAAGAAGAGCTGATGTGTGCTAGAGAGGACATCAATTGACATGATCAGTGGCAAAGACAACATAAGCCATTATTAAAAAGAAAAGGGTTAAGATGCTTGCTGTTGCTCCATGCATGACTCCGTAAAGAAAGGCAGGTAATGTCTAATAAATGGCCCATTAGCCAATCATCTATTTTCCCTTTTTAAATGTCTCTCAAAATATGTGTTGCTCAATAAACTGACAGTTCTGTGACCTGTTGCAACTGAACAGGGACGCTCCAAGAAGGTGTTTTCTGCTTGATGAGGATGACGGGGCCTCAGAGCCCAGGCTACGCTGAGAACTTTGCTGTGGAGTTTACCACCCGTGAACCAATTAGAGAACCAGATCCAAATACCAACAGTGGTCATGCTGGAGTGAGGTCTGTAGAGACTGAAATCATCAATTCAGTTGCATAAATGATTTTTACATGTGCTGGTTTTTGTTCAAGGTATGGATTTCACTGATATTTTAATCCTTTGCAGATGTGCTACAGAGGAGAGTGCCACCCTTCAACTAAAAGATAACATGTTTTGTAAAAATAAAGCATATTGAATCCTCACTTTGTAGGTCGATGTTACCAAGATCTTGACATCATTGGTGTATGAAAGTGGACTCTTTTGCTTCCTGTCAAGTAGAAGAAAGGTTACTATTGATCAGTAATGCATGTGACAGTAAAAGGTAATACTCAATTTATGTATATCTAAATACCACACTTTCTATTCTGCCCAGTATCCTAAGCTGACAAGAGAAGTTCTCTGATGGACTTCAACAAAGCAAGTCACATCAGAGCTCTCAAAAGCAGCCCAGAAAAGGAATGGTAGCTAACTAAGTCTGAGCTGGACAAATGTCTTCCGCCATTTGGGCCATTTCCATCTCAACTAGAGCTTTCATGGGACTGCTGGCTTAGTGCCTGTGATTGGAGTGAAAGCACACTTCACATTTAACATCTTCTACTCTCATCCCTCCTGTGTATTCATCTCCTCACTTTTTTGAATAGTTCATACATCTTTCCAAAGACACATGTTTTAGAATATTAAAAAAATGAGGATTGTTGAAGGAAATCTACATTGTTTGTACTTCTTTTAAATCTAGTAAATCAAGTAATACAGAAAGAAATTACTTTTAATTATAAATAGGAAGTTTTCATAAAAGCATCCAGTTTAATTCATACCACTTAAATGTATACTTTTTTGACAAAGATACTTGGGCACCTATGGAATCATACTCAGATATCATTAGGCAATGATGAAATATATAATTTTTCCATTAGCATTCTGCATTAACATTACATAAAACTATACTTCCTTTTGAAAAGTATACTTTCCCCCTTGAACAGGTTGTATTTATTTTTTGGCGTTTCAGTGGATGATCTTTTCAATTACATAAATTATAAATCCTAAAAATGATCATATGAATATTCCTGTTTCCTACTGGACTAATGGAAGACATTACAGGTAATGAATTATTTTCTTATATTCAAAATGCTAACCTAACATTTATATTATATCATGTCCAAATAGATTGTAAGCAGAAATGATGTGGTTTGGGAAGGGAGAGCTGGGGTAAACCATGAGGGAAATGGAAAACCACTCTGAAAGGCCTCATAAATGCAGCCTTCCACTTGGGGATGGTAAAGTTGAGTATTCTTTCCTGTTCATATACAGGGAGAACAAAGAAACTTCTAGATAAGACACAAGGACCTGATTCCCTTCTAGAGCAGTGCTAAATTTCTTAAATATTATCCCCATTTATGTAGTCTTTCCTCTAAACTGAGTAGCTTAATAAACCTATACCTCCCATTTTCCTCTCTTATAAACATCTAGGATGCATTCCTTGGATTTGTACAATGCAGAATCAGTGTGTCTACATGGAGCAAAGGTTATATTTTATATTAATATGCTAATTTTACAATTTCAATTCGGTGGTTTTTCTAAGTAGTATATTTTTGTCTTGTTCTCTGGTCTTTTACTTTAAGATTTATGTATTTGAAAGGCAGAGTTACAGACAGGGGGAGATTTTCCATCCATTAGTTCAATCCCCAAATGGCTACAGTGGCTCCAACCTGGGTCAAGCTGAAGCCAGGAACTTCATGTGGGTCTTCCTAAGGGTGCAGTATTTGGGCCATTTTCTGCTTTTCCAGGTGCATTATCAAGAAGCTGATGCTGGCACCCTGGGCAACAACTTAACCAGCTATGCCACAATGCTAGCCAGCTATTTCAGTTTCTTATTTTGAGAAAATAAAATGTATAAGTGAAAGGTAGAAATTAAATATCTATTGTTTTGACTTTATGTATATGTTTTTTGGTCGATGCTATATTACATCATATATTTGTGATTTGAAAAAATAGCCACAAATAAGTGAGAACAGGACAAGTTAGTTTGGACAGAAGCTATATTGTATTAACTTTATAATGGTCACAATAAACAACTGTCCACATTCCTCCCTGAATGAAAGATGTAATTTAAGTGATCTGCCTGATAGTCGCAGGCTCTACTTAGTTACCCAGTCTTACTTTGTATCGTAACTTACATTGTAAGCCTTAAAAATTGAAGGATATGTTTAAAAACAACAGTTGATTAAGCCATAAATATTTTTGCACATGTCTAATGTATAATCCATCTTTGATAAGAACAAGCATATACTTTGGTATATACTTACTTATTTTACTGTCTTTGTTCTGCATGCACAGTATGAAATCATAAAAGCCACAAACATCACCACACCAACACTGAGTAAGATGATTTCTACCAGGCCAAGGAGGTTTATTTTTCCAGTCACTTGTTTTCTGAACATTTCTGCTTTCTCATCACCAATGGTACCAGTCTGCAATCAAATTAATAAATAGCATCACTGGCATTGATAATACTCGAACTTTTCAATTATGTATCATTCCTGTCTTCTAGCACTTGTACAGAGGTTAGCCATCTACATAAGAGAAGTTGCTGTCTTTGTCCTGACCTTAGCTGGGATACCCTTTGTATGTCAAAGTATTTCAGAGGGAAATATAAGGAGAGCGCATAAAATTTGTGGAAAATGCATACTGTAAGAACACTACGCATGGCTTTAAACATTTGTGCACTAATATCTTTTAATTGCTTTTCCCACAAGTTTTTTTGAAGTACCCTCATAATCCACTTCTCTGTAAACTTGCTGTCTAGCAATTGTAACAGGGCTCATTTCAAGACTGTTTCTATGAACTATTTCACAGGATTCCATTGGTTATTTCCCAGGGCCAACGGGAAAAGCGTGGGTCAACCATTGCACATGTTCTAACAGCTTATGCAGTGCATTTCTGAACTCTATGACGAACCAACTCAGCAGTTCACACTAAAAGCAGCTTGTCATGCACTAGGACAGACTGTGTGTGCCTACTCGAACCTGGCCTTTGTGGGTAGTGTAATAGTGAGACTTGATTTATTTTTAAGCAAGCTTTCTTCCAAGATAAGCACTATGACAAGAAATAGTATTCAGTAGAGGCATTTGGAAGACAATCTTAAAATGCTTTGCCTCTCCTCAAAGGAAACGTGGAACCATATATATATTTTTGTTGTTCTCCCAAATAGAGTCAATTATGTGTAAACTGGGCCACCCAGGCAATACATGCAGATACGACTGTAAATATGACATACATTTGTGACTCATACATTAAAATACTAACCTCATTAAGCCAAAGTATAGGCACAATGTAGTTCTTCTTCAAATTCTTTAATGCTCTGTAAAACACATTGATAACTTTATATATTCATATCTGAGACATTTTAGTAACTCCTACTATAAACGGGCAGAAATTAGTTGCTCTTGCATATGGGTTAAGCACCTTGATTTTTTTCTGTAATGTGTTCTTTAACTCAATACAGCTGTTTCTCAGATTGATAAATCAAAATTTTTACTTTTTCCAAGGACACCTTGTTGCTTTTAGCAAGTTCTACAAAAAATTGTCATATAAATAATCAAATATCTAGCAAAAAGACAGCAACCATCACATGGTCCAATTAAAATCATTTCAATAAAAACTAGATACTATTCAAAAATACAGGTGTAAGGTATCATAAGCATTTAACAATGACTGCTTAATGACATGAAGCAAAAGAGAAGTTGACATTTGGCAGTCTTTCCACTGACTTTCCTGGCTGAACTTACATTCTTACAAGAAAATGCTACACATTATATAAAGATAACCTTGTTAAAAAGACTCACTCAATTTTTTTTGCTGGCTTAACTAATATGTTGACTTGTAGCCGCTTTGCAAACTGTAAAGTGAATCCAGTTATCTAAAAAGAGAGCAAACAAATAATTACCAGTCCGTTAAAAACATTTTTTATAATATCCAAATTTTATTATTGTGATAGAAGGGTTCCCTAGAAGAACTTAAAGTGAAACAGTACTACTTGAAGCTTACATAAAATTGGACTTATTAAGTACATATATTTATGTATATTCGCATACATATACATGTGTACACACATATAATAACTTTGCTCAACCTAATATGAAGGTTTTGGTCATATTTGTGATATTTATCCAAGTGTTTTGGGAGAAATCAATAATAGCAACAGACTGTAACAGCTCAGAGTTAATTCTTGAACAATGCAAAGTCAAATACACAATCATTCCTCCAGATTAGTTTTGGAATCCCCATGGGTACAAGATATCTGTATGTGTGTAAGTTATTTAGCATTAACATAAAACCTACACATACCTTCTCTATACTCAAAACACATCTAGGTTACTTATAACACCTAATGTCATGTAAAAGCTATGGAAACCAATGTTAAACTGTTAAATCTGTACATGCTCAGTGCAGATAACATGTCTTCAACAATTTTCAATCTGCAGATTGCAATTCACAGAACTCATAGATACAAAAGGGTGACTTTATATTCAGTGAGAATATGTAAGTATCATAACTTTAATTATAATGCCATCATTATTGAAATGAAATTCTAGACATTTAGGTCATGTTTAGTTTTTGAAACTATAATATTAAAATAACTTTAGGCTAAAAACTACCATGATGCACCAATTTGTATACATTTTTCTTGAAAAGTGTATTAGATTGTATCCAGAATTCACAACTATGCTCATAAAATATTAATTTAAACAAAAGTGCTTTAGGTCAATTAGAATCATTGTTGGTATTCCTGACCTATGGATTATAAAAAAAAAAGCCTTAGTAGATTCTATATGCTGACACTGTAATTGAACTTTCTTGATATTTCATAAGTACAATGAGAAGAAATCAATAGAATTTTACTAAGTTTCAGTAATTTATTAAAATTGTTATAAGTATAAATGGGGAGGCTCTTTCTTTCAAATGCATTTCTAAAATTTATCTGGCAAAGTTTCCGTTTGTTGATTTGCTCCCCAACTGTGCACAAGGACCAGGGCTGAAGCTCAGAACTGAGAACTCATACCAGGACTTTGATGTGGGTGGCAGGGGCCTGAGCTGGAACCGGAACCCAGGAGCTCCAACATCAGCATCCCCGCTACTCAATCAAATGTGTAACCCAATTTCATTTTTAAAGAGTCTTAACCAAATTAGATCAATGACATATTTGCTTACAGGTTCAACATCCAGAAATGTCCTGTGTTCTTCTTCATTTGGATTCAGTCCTTCAATAGGTTCTGAAACATCAGGACTTGCATGTAGAAAATGAGGCAGTGAAATATACACAGGTCTTCCTGAAAACAATTTTTAGGAGTCAGTGGAGAACCAATTGTTTTCCTCATTTTACTTATCAGAAATAGTTCCTTGAAAATAAAAGCTGTTTAAAGATTTTGAGCACTGATTAGAGGGTAAATGTAGGGGAGAGTTATAACCTCAGGATGCCATAATACAAACATGAAATTTAAAATTCTACATTATCCCATGAAGCATTCAGGTGATTCCAGTCGTTCATTCCTTAGTTGCTCATTTTCAACAGTCCAGGTGAAGTCTAGCTGCTGAATGCAAAGCTTCAATTGTAAAAAGTCACAGACCAGGCAGTAATATGTAGATGGACTGAGAATTAGTTCTTTTTTAATTTATTTATTTGACAGGTAGAGTTATAGACAGAAAGAGACAGACAGAAAGGTCTTCCTTCCGTTGTCTGTTGGTTCACCCCCAAAAATGGCCACTATTGCCGGCGCTGCGCCGATCCGAAGCCAGGAGCCAGGTGCTTCTCCTGGTCTCCCATGTGGGTGCAGGGCCCAAGTACTGGGGCCATCCTCCACTGCCCTCCTGGGCCACAGCAGAGAGCTGGACTGGAAGAGGAGCAATTGAGACTAGAACCTGGTGCAGCAGGTGGAAGATTAACCAAGTGAGCCACGGCGCTGGCCCCAGTTCTTTTTTTCTAATATGCAGCCAGTCTACTATGAAGATAAGACAGATTCCAAATTTTGTGTTTGTCCGTTCTTGTTTTAGAGACAGAAAAAAAGATAAATATATTTTTGCTCTAAGAAAAGCAGAGCAATGGTAAATGGGAAACTTGGGATGCTCAAAGTATACCAAGAATTGTCTTCTTTTGACCCTAAACCTGAAAGCTGCATAAGATAGCAAAGGTATAGTTTTATATATTCATAACTAAGCTATGAAACACAAACACCAACCAGGAACCCCAAGCAATACCAATAATCCTGTCACAAACCATTATTTCATATTTGTGGTAGAAAGGAAATCTGGGTAAAGATTCCCTTTTAAAGAGTACTGAGATTCAATGATTGTTTACAGCCCTTGTCTCTGTTAAGGAATAGTCTTTTTCTCTTCTTACTATTTGTTGAATTCTTTGCTTAGTGTAGGGTTAATCTTATGAATATATAGTAAACTGAAAGTAGATTATTGTAAAAAATGAAGAGAAGGAAATAAGAAGGGTAGGAGGATAGAGGAAGAATCACTGTGTTCCTAAATCTGTTTAAGGTATACAGATTTCATGCTTTTCATATAAATAGAAAAAAGAGTACTGTAGACTACATCATAGACCATGACATTGAGAGTATGTACTCACCTTCTTTACACTTGCCGATGTCTAGCACACCATAGGAGGTACAATTATTTGAGATAATGGTTTCTGTGCAGAAGCAATGGTTGTCTGGATTTTGAACTGGAGATGCAAAAGCCTTGGCGGGAAGAACAAATCTATACACAGGGATTCCTTTCAGGTTGATTTCAGATCCAAACACAGCGTAGATTGACCTGAATAGACACAGAAAGGAGCTTCATTGCTAAGACTCAACTAAATTCTGAAGATTTTTTTTCTGATTTTTAAGGGTTTTTTTTAAGATTTTATTGACTTTATTCTTGATGGAAATTACAAAAAAATTCATCTGAAATTTTAATACAATCAGAACTTTATGTATGAACTATTCTTGGTTTTGCAAATGATTCTAAGGACAAGTTTTGCTTGTGAATGGTCAAATATTTATATCAAAGAAATTCTCATAATTTCCTCCACTGGTTAAATGTTGATATTTGACTTATGCTTAGATTAAATGAAGTAACAAAATGTCTGTCTTTCAAAACTTAACCACAGAGAGAAAGGCCATTCACTTACTGGGGTGTAAGGGTGGCACTTTAGATGATAGATCTACATACACACACACACTACACACCTCCATCATTTGCCAACTGTCTACTATGAACCTAGCCACTGTGCTAAGAGCAACACTTCATTCTAATCCCCAGATAATTCTATTGGGAGGATCTCTGCTCTTCAATTTTTGAAGATAAGGAAAAGATCCAGAGGTATGGAATGCTTGCCCACAAACATGCAGTGTTTAGTGACAGGGTGTGGGCTCTAATCTGTGTGGTATCTGTTGGGACCCAGCAATTTGAAAAGATGTTCTAACAGCAGTAGAGCATGTTAATTAATAGCACAGTTCTGTGACAGTTGCATGATCATCATCTATGAATATCTTTACAAAGATCGGGTGGGTGGGCATTTGGCACAGTGGTCAAGATACCACTTAGGACATTGACCTCTCATATTAGAGCATCTGGGTTCAAGTTCCAGCTCTAATACTGATTGCAGCTTCCTGCTAATGCACACTCTTGGAGGCAACACTGCTACTTGAAGGCTCAAGTAATTGGATGTTAGCTCCCTCTGTGAGAGACCCACATTGAGTTCTCCACTGCTGGTTTCAGCCTGAGCTAGCTCTGGTTATTACAGGCACTTGTGGCATGAAGCAGTGAATAGGAGATCCCTATGCTTTTCAAATGAATAGAAATATAAAAAACTGAGTGGGTCCTTTTAGATTTGTTGTTACATATACTAACAGTTTAATGTCTCTCTTAGCTAGAAATCATACAAAATTATCTACATTATAAGAAAGTTTAAGGATGTCGAAGGATGTTGCAAAGAATTAATACAATTGTTGCATTTGTTCTTAGGAAATCAAGAAAAGTTTCTTGGTCTGTATTTTTTCCTTTCAGGGAGAGAAGTCTGACTCCTAGAAATACATTGGTATCTTTATCTTACCTACAAATATCAGAGGAAAAGAACTGCAGCACTCGAGACTTCTCAACAAAAGGTGGAAATGAAGCTGCATCTGTGGGGAAATCAAGTCAGTGGCAAGTGATTATCTGTGTCTAGAAAAATCTAAAATTTGCATTCTAGTATGGTCAATATAAACATCATACAAACAACCTATGTAGTTTTATACTTACCTAGCAGTCACAAAGAAAAATAGAATAAATGAAACAGGCATATTTTATTAAACTCAATACATTAAAGATATTTACTACATGTTGACATGCTTAACATTCTCAAAATCTAGTGTATTCAATTGTTTTTCAACTTTTATTTATTAAATAAAATTTCTGAAGTACAACTTTGGGATTATTGTGGCTTTTTCCCCCATAACCTCCCTCCCATCTCCTACTTCCATCCCACTCTTCATCAAGATTCATTTTCAATTATCTTAATATATACTAAATTGATCTTTGTATATAAAGTAAAGACTTCAACAGTTTGCACCCACACAGACACACAAAGTGTAAAGCACTGTTTGAGTACTAGTTTTACCATTAATTTACATAGTACAACACATTAAGGACAGAGATTCTACATGGGCAGCAGGTGCACAGTGACTCCTGTTGTTGATTTAACAATTGACACTCTTATTTATGATGCCAGTAATCACTCAAGGCTCTTGTCATGAGATGCCAAGGCTATACAGCAGACTCATAGTGTATTCAATTTATAATATCTTTATATCAAGTACCAAGTAGTCATGTAGCTACATATTTAACAAAAAAGCTTCCTATTATTCACCTCATTGGTATAAATAAAAATCTCTTTAAAAAAGGGTAAAATCTGATGTTTGTTTTTTGAAATTTTTTTCTCTCCCATCAGCACAGTGACACTTTCATGAAGTTCATTTAGAACTTTTGTTATGTCCACATTGCCCTTATTTTTAATTGATTCATTCTCTGTCTTAATGGCTAATGAATGTTTTTAAATAATTTTTTAAAGCTTTCCAGCTAAACAGAAATCTTCTTTGAAAACCATAAAATCTAAAGAGTCATGGATTGCATTGAATTCACACTATGGTACGATCCACAATATACATGGGATACAAAGAAAGAACTGGGTAACTCCATGGGTTGGGCCGATGAATATCATCAACATGAGCCACCACTGCAGGTATCTATTTAAAATGGTAGCACCCATCCTTCAACTATTTATTCCAGATTCTATTCTTATCAAGTGTTTCAACCTTGTGACCTTTTTATCTTTCACTTATAAGATCACAGTGTTCATATAATCACTGCTGGATGCAAGCATAAACAGAATTAGATATCAAAGTCTAGCATACATTCTCCATAAAGTCCCTGTAGGGACATTGCCTACATTTGTCTTCCCAATACCATACCAGTGTATGTAAAACATATTGGAAACCATTAAAATGCATTACCTGAAATACTATTGAAGGTTATATCATAATTATAACCAACAATTACCATAGGTAGTGACCACATGATAAATTTGAGCTGGACTTTTTGGGAAGAAAGAATCTGAATATAAATTACTATTTTCACTTGATGTCTTTTTATACTTACTGAAGAAAGCAAAAGATGTACTTTGAAATAATGAAATCACACTGTCATTAATGAATCCTCTAGTTGCTTTTGTTAAGTCTGCCTTCAACTTTGTTTCTCAGAGAATTACTTAATATCTTTTTCCCTAAATCTATAAAATATTCTAGTCTCTGTATATGAGTCATTTTAATTAAATAGGAATTTCTTCACCTACTCCCATGGATCAAACCCTACAAAGAAAATCCAGCAGTGTTTTTGCTGTATTTTTCTCCCTATAACCCAGTGATGACAAAACGCATTTAAATCTCATACCTGAGTAAACGTTCTCTGTGCTTATTTCTATGTAACTTCCATCATCTTTATTATTTTGTTTTCTTATGGGGCATTCTATCACACACTTTGTCAAGACCATGTTCTGCTTCTCAGTAATTCACCTCCAATATTATAACCCCATGGATTTGGATTCTCATCGCTTTTTAAAATCCAAACTCTTAAACAGGCACATGTATACTTTGCTTTTTTCTTAAATAATAAGTCAGATTTACCTATACTTAGTTTATAGTTCTTTCTTGGTTCCCCCTCAATTCTATTTAAGGGTTTTTTTTAAACCTACCTTTTTTTCATGGTTAGTGGACATCAATTTTCTGTCCCATTTTGGCCATTTTTTTCCCAAATAGATACTCTTGCAAATTTATGCATTATATATCAGCTTCAAATCTCACTGAGAATTATGTTTTTCCTTTTATGATCATTTTGGGTTCTTTTACATTTTAATTCTATATTGCTACCTGTGTAGGACTTATAAATGATCTGAATCTAAGCTTCATTTTTTAACCACATCTGTCCCCAGGGTGGCAGATCATTAAGTTTTCGCAAAGCAAATGGTTCCTTAGTAATACAGTAAGGTCTATTTCCTCTGTGGTTAATCTTCAGAAATCTCATCATATTTAACAGAAATTTACTAAACCTTTATTAAAACAGAGACCTTGAATTATGTTGTACAAAATATAAAAATGGATAAATATATATCCACATACCCAAAGGTTGAAGGTATATATTTATACAGTGGGTGTGGTGGATTTATCAGGAATAAAACCCAAAACAAATATTCTTACCTGTGCCATTAATCATGTCACAATAACTTGGCCAATAGGAGAGATTCCTTAGGGATAAAAACAAGAACAATGAACAAATATTTTCCAAGCGTACCTTTCTCATATTACACTTTCTATTGACTCAGTACTTTTCTGAACTTAATGAAGATTTGATGTGACAAGTACTAAATTCAAGAAATGTTCTGTTTGACCCATTCAAGTATTGCAATAAATTAAAAGTCTGATGCTTTTAAGTGGCCAGATAATAAAATAGAAACTGCCAAATTGTTAGTTCACTAAAGATAACTTCAAACATAGTTTTGAAAGAAGAAAATTGAGAAACACTTATCAGAAACTTGGATTTTGCTTAGGGGGAATTGTTTATTCCAGTGGGAGAAATTAATTACTTGGTATAATTCTGACTGTTCAAATCAAAGGGGAGGAATGTACTAGGCTCTGAATGAGCTCACTCAGTATAAGGCAGAAGAGAGGAGTGAGGAAAATGTTTTGATCAATGGAATTTGAAACACATGAATACTCAGTTTCGACTTTTCACCCTTTTAACTCTTGAATGCACTGACATCAAAGTAGGACAGCATCTATTCGTTTATCTGTTAGTGTCTAAATGAGGTCTAAATTTCTGCAGGTGACATAAACAGTAGTAATGGTCTCCTTAGTTTTCCTCATTGGCAATATAGCATCCAATGAGACAGCCACACATTCTGTGGCTACATTTTTAAACAGAATAAGCTGTTTCTCAGGTTCAGTCTGGCCATGAGTTAAATCTACCTCAGTCTAGCTCTTATTCTCATTAGAAGCACTTAGCAACTCTCCCATCTCCCTCTCGACAACACTAAAATGGGGTGAAGAGCTCACTGTTCCTCAAAATGCAAACATGGATGTGATTTCCCCTGAGTGCTTAGAAATGTTTGTATTCCTCCAATAGACTTTTCTACAAACGTGACTATGAACTCTTTGGACATAAAGGTACATTAGTAAATATTTAACTGCAGTGTACCATTATTAGATAAGCAATCGGTTGGAGGCAGTCATTATGGATATTAGTGGAAACATTCTATCTTTGTCAGGTTTCATCACTTTATTGCATAACTGATCTATAACACCGGTATGAACTTTAACGGGAAGAAGAGGCTTTCGCCTCTGATTTTCGTTAAGGGTCTTTCTATGGAGGATACTATGAAAAGTTGGGGGGAAAAGCAATGAGTTGATGTTGGTCAAAGATTGTTGACAATCATGCACAGTTTTAAAAATAGGAGTGGTCTGGGCCGGCGCACTAGGTTAATCCTCCACCTGCAGTGCCAGCATCCCATATGGGCACCGGTTCTAGTCCCGGTTGCTCCTCTTCCAGTCCAGCTCTCTGCTGTGGCCTGGGATAACAGTGGAGGATGGCCCAAGTGCTTGGCCCTGCACCCGCATGGGAGACCAGGAGGAGGCTCCTGGCTCCTGGATTTGGATAGGCGCAGCGCGCCGGCCGTAGCGGCCATTTTGGGGGTGAACCAACGGAAGGAAGACCCTTCTGTCTCTCTCTCACTATCTGTAACTCCATCTGTCAAATAAGAGCTTTTAAAAAAATAGGAGTGGTCTTCAAAAAGTTCATAGAAATGCTATGATAAATTACGAATCCTTCAGCTGAACTTTTAGGAGTTAGGAAAGAAAGGAAATAATGGCTTTACAGAGCTAATATGCTCTTTTACTACTTCAAAAGTAAAGTATTCCCCCACTCAATACATACATTTTAGAATTGTACTTGAAGTAATAATTTCATTTTTGCATGGTAAAGGTGAAGAAAGCTGAGGTAGCAACAGAAAATTCAGGAATGTGCATAGATCTATTAAACTTCTGTTTTTTTTTTTTTTTTTTTTGACAGCCAGAGTGGACAGTGAGAGACAGAGAGAAAGGTCTTCCTTTGCCGTTGGTTCATCCTCCAATGGCCACTGCAGCTGGCACACCGCGCTGATCGTAAGCCAGGAGCCAGGTGCTTCTCCTGGTTTCCCATGCGGGTGCAGGGCCCAAGCACCTGGGCCATCCTCCACTGCACTCCCGGGCCACAGCAGAGAGCTGGACTGGAAGAGGAGCAACCGGGACAGAATCCGGCGCCCTGACTGAGACTAGAACCCGGTGTGCCGGCGCCGCAGGTGGAGGATTAGCCTATTGAGCCACAGCACCGGCCAAACTTCTATCTTTAAAGGCACATTTAGGCTGTATTACTACAGCATACAATTTTTATTTAATATGTATAATTTTACAAAGTATAAAATTTTTGTACCTACTAGACTATCAGTTGAAGGGTTGATTTTATTTGACTCTATATGTAATTCTCCAATTGTCTGAGTACACTGTAATGCTGGATCTGTGGTAGAGATGAAAGTAGCCCCTTTCAATTTCTTTATATGACAGAGCCTGTGCAAACAGGTAAGCAAACCCTGACAAGGGCTGATATTCACTAACTATGCATAGGTGTGAATGTGCCTGTGGGCACAGCTAAAGTGTTGATGCCTGGCAGAAAGGCCAGTCCAGAGTGGTGTAGCCAGGTCTGTTCCATAGCTTGGTGCCTGCACCTTAGCAACTGTTAAGCAAACAACATTCCTGCCAGCCAGTGCCCTAGGAATACGCATGCATGCTTCACTCAGATACTCACCTTTTACCTTTGTAAGTGTCAATTATGGCAACTTTGCTTATATTATCTTTTCCATTGAAAACTTTATAAACTCCATCTACAGTATTGTTGTACTGAAAAGACATGTACAAGAAAAAAATTACTTCTGGAACAAGCCATATTTTCCCATTATGAAATATATAATTCCTTTTCATATGCCTCAAACACTGGTTATGCACATTCATTTATATGACTCTGAATACATGCAATAACTTTTTTAGTTATTTGCCTTTAAAATAAGAGTACTAATGTAAAATATGTCAAGAAATAAGTCCTAGAGCCAAAATAAACTAAACATCACCAATTGACATAACTCAAACTCTAGAACTGTCATAATTCAGCCAGTCACCACTCCTATTATATTGAGAAGATTGAATAAAACCTATGAGAGCAGTGATACATTTCTAGAATTACTTTAAATGTTATGACCTTAAGTAAGAAGTACTAAAATTAAAAACAGAATTAGCCATGGTAAAGAGTTACGAGTAGTTGAGTTATAATAACTGAATCTGATTCCTTATGGCTTTCTATATTCATAATTGACTGATATGGAACGTTACAATCCTAACCACTATCTAAAGTAAAACAAAGAATTTGAGAATATAACTAATATGTACATATATAAAACCTAATGAAACTATTTTACATAATCTTCAAAATGCCATTTTCACAGCATTCGGTACTACTGGAAGGTCTGAATCACAGTCCCATCAAAAAAAGGCCTTCTGACTGCATAAATTTAGGCTAACATTTTACTTAAATGTTTAAAATTTTGTAAGAGGTCTGGAGAAGGAGAAATGACAGAATACATTGGGCAAATAGAAATATAGTATTGAACTTGATTTTGTAAGAAGGAAAAACAAAATAAAAATAGTTTTCAATGATTTGCAGACTTACAAGGTATGTTTGGACCACTTGTACATTTATAAAAGAGTGGAAACTTGATGACATTAGCATAAATTTTTTAAAATTTTCCCACTAGGAAAGCTGAATGTATGTGTGATGAAGACTTAAAAAAAAAAAAAATATATATATATATGGTATGTATTTCCAGATCAACAATAGACTAACACACTAAATTACAAAGGATGCCTTGACTAAGACATTGCTTTCATCCAGCTGAAAGATAACAATATTTTTATTCATATTTGGTACTTACAGGATAAAACACACCCACTGTGGTGGTAATAGGGTATGGAACCAAACTCAAGAATGGATCTTTATAGCCCCATAGTAATTCTTTTAAAGTTCTGGTTTGGAACATAGAAGATTTTGACTTTTTGATGAGTGAATTGAGTAACACTTGAACAAATGTATTTTGATAGATATGAGGTGCAGCCTACAAAAAAGAAATTCACTATTAAGATATATCAATACAGTATCAGATCTTAACATAAAAGGATTAAGTACTATAGTTGAGCTTAATACAAACTTTAAAAAAAAAAAGATACCCTTAATAGTATTGCCAAATGCTCCTAAGACTGAAAGTTTTTGTCTAATCTCTATAATATTACATTTTTTCTGCCTCAATGCCAGGCATGGAAGTAGACATCTCAAGTTTAGCACTAGGATTTTTAGCAGTATACTTTAAACCATATTCTAACCCAGCTGATTATGATTTTGCCATTTTTCTAAGTGACCCTAACTCTTGAAAATATCCCAAGAACACATTTTTTTAAAAGTGGCAAGTAGAAGTGGGTGCTTGGTGTAGTGATGATGACATATGAAAGTGCCTATGTTTGAGTATTGGCTTTGCGCGTCCCTGGAGTCAACAATGGTGGCTTGAATGGTTGTGTCCCTAGGACCCATGCGGGAGACCCAAATTGAATTTGGGGTTCTTGGTTTCACTTGGCCCAACCCCAGTTGTTGAAGTCATTTGGGGACTGACCAAGTGGATGGGCTTGGTCTCTCTCTCTCTTTCCTTTTTTGTTTTTGCCTTTCAAGTAAAAATACACATTTCTTAAAATGGCACATAAAATCTATTGATAATTCTAGTGATGAGCTTAATTATGGTGGTTTATTTCTCAAATAACAATGGTTCTGTTTGCCTACTCACTGCGACAGCCAAATTGAGAACTGTGAATGTGTCATTCTCGGTTCCAACAGACAGGGAAGGTTCAAAGATAGCTCCATTGGGCTGCACAAAGGAAACCGTGTGGTCCTCAGGGTCCTGGGTCACATTTTCTTTGGCCAGATAACGAACTCTGAAAAACACAGAAGCGAAGTGACAAGAAAACCACATTTTTCTCCTGTGGATGTTAATTTTCTCGACAAATATTTGAGCATAGAAAATGCCAGCAATTATGCTACACAGTGGGGTGAAAATGATAAATTAGCCACTACTTGGACCTAGTAAGCTATCCAGAAGGAGTCTCGAACTTGCAAACTGGGAGTTTTCACAAAGGCCATGGGAAAGCACACAGCAGACAGAAATGTCAGCTTGGTGGGGTGGTGGTGCATATATTGGTAGCAATTCTATATAGGTGGTCCAAATACCAAACAGTAGTTAGGTAAAGAAGGGCAGAAAGTCACCTGTATAAATAAGAAATTACATGATATATCTGGGGAGATGCAAATGTTTTAGTGTGGCTGGATTATAGAGATAATGATACAAGCAAGATCTCATACATTAAAATGATCCTGAGGGCAAGGAAGATAGTAGAGAAGCTTAAACAGGGGAACAGTGAGAACATTTTCTTATATTAGAACTCTCAGAGTATAACCTCCTCGGCACTAGATTTCTCCATTATTTTCAGCACTTTAATGAGAACTAGAGATCATAAAATTTCCATTTTTAAGGGTCACAGACTAACTCCACCCCTCTCTCATATACTGAATACTTACTAGTGCTAAGCTCCTGGTTTTAACATCCGCAAAGTAACAACTGCTTTTGAGGAATGGAGTGAAGGGTGATTATTATGGAGAAAATATTTTGCAAGTATAAAATATTCAGTGAGAGGAAATGAGGTAGTCACTGCACTGTCAAATATTTGACTATGTGTTACATGAGGTAAGTAGATAACTAAGGTAAAGACTGAACAAAGCAAAAAAAAAAAAAAGCCGGCACGGCGGCTCACTAGGCTAATCCTCCGCCTTGCAGCGCCGGCACACTGGTTTCTAGTCCCGGTTGGGGCCCCGGATTCTGTCCCGGTTGCCCCTCTTTCAGGCCAGCTCTCTGCTGTGGCCCGGGAGTGCAGTGGAGGATGGCCCAAGTCCTTGGGTCCTGCACCCCATGGGAGACCAGGAGAAGTACCTGGCTCCTGCCATCGGATCAGCACGGTGCGCCGGCCCCAGCGCACTGGCCGCAGCGGCCATTGGAGGATGAACCAACAGCAAAGGAAGACCTTTCTCTCTGTCTCTGTCTCTCACTATCCACTCTGCCTGTCAAAAAATAAAAAAATAAAAAAAATAAAAAAAAACTGAACAAAGCAACTAGAATTTAAGGCAAACCATCCTTCATTAACTATAAATCCCCCTAGAGCACAGAGGATTAGTGTTTTATGCTTCCAAACACTGAGCCTGACACACAGCGATTTCTTGTGGAATAAACTGATTGATGGTCACAAGATTTTAAGAATTTATTTATTTGATAGGCAGAGTTAGAAAGAGAGGGAGAGACAGAGAGAATCTTCCATCCAATGGTTCACTCCTCAAATGACCACAATGGCTGGAGCTAGGCTGATCCAAAGCCAGGAGCCAGGAGTTTCTTCTAGGTCTCCCACGTGAGTAAATGGGCCCAACCACTTGGGCTCCCTTCCACTGCTTTCCCAGGCCATCAACAGGGAGATAACTGGAAGTGGAGCAGCTGGGACTTGAACAGGCACCCATGTGGAATGTCAATACAGCAGGTAGAGGCTTAACCTACCATGCCACAGTGCCATCACTGATGGTCACATTTTTCAAAAGAGGATTCAAAATCCTCTAGGTGAGTATTTTATTTCTGATAAAATTTCACCAATGCTTTAATATTTTTTCTCCCCAGAATAAGGTAGCTACAGACAAAATAAAAATCTGAAGCAATATTCAGGATGGCCAATTACCCTATCTTTCCTCTCAAGTAATTGTATTTTAAAACTGGAATAATATCATGCAAGATAAGCTACTTAAATTTTAGGATCAGTTATATGTATATGTGAAATTGAAACAATAGTTTCTTGAGCTCACTTAAAGTTGTACTTACAGCATTCTACCAGCAGATGACACTCCCTCAGAGAAAATCCTTAAAAAGGAGTTGAGCCTTTAGAATCCACTTTCTAATTGAGAACATTGTCAGTGTTTTATTTTAAAATATTGGAAATTTTGCAAAGTGTTACTTTGTAAGGTCAAAATAAGGACTCTGTCCTACATTTTCCCAGATTGCTTTCTTTCCTATTCTGCAAAGGCAAAGGTAATTATAAATGATACCTGTTGGATCTAAGAATATTCTGAAGGAATTAAAATCTACAGAGATGGTGGGTATTGGAATAAACTTAAGATTTCAGTCCAGGGGCCAGCACTGTGGATCAGTGAGTTAAGGCCAAGGCCTTTAGCACTATTATCCCATATGGTGGCTAGTTTGTGTCCTGGCTGCTTCATGTCCAATCCAGCTCCCTTTAGGTGCACCTGGGAAAGCAGCAGATGATGGTCCAATTCTGTGGGCCCCTGCACGCATGTGGGAGACCCAGAAGAAACTCCTGGCTCCAACCTAGACCAGCCCCAGTCCTCATGGCCATTTGGGAGTGAACCAGAAGATGGAAAATCTGTCTCTCCTCCTCTCTAACTTTGCCTTTCAAATACATAAATAAATATTCATTTTTTTATTTCTTCTTAGAATGCAGATATAATTCATTAGACTTGAAAATCAACAAAAATCAGTTTTAGGAACTTCTTGAGTAGATTGTGGGATTTTTTTTCTTCTACTTTTTAATCTGAAAAGCAAATATCTAATAGGTAATTTAATACCATACAGATTTAAAGTTTAGTGTTTGAATAATACACAAGGGTTAGATAAGTGATAAGAAATATTACATAACTGATCCAACTCTATTCTGTTACATTTCATCAAAATTCCATGCGTTCTTGGGATCAAACAGAAATATTCAAATATCTAAATTCTGGCTTTCTTTACTCCACTAACAAGATCTTAACCTACTGTCCATTCTTTGAGGGTGCAGTTTTGTTTTTGTACAAGTGGATCTGTAAAGGTCTATTTTTCTTATTAAATCTGGATCTACGCAGTCAATGCAAGTCTGAAAGTGCATTTCAACAGACTTTGAAAAGATGGGTTTTCCATTAGTAATTCCTTTAGTTAACATTGATCTCTGCTTTATCAGCAAACATGAGGAAAATAATGAAATGTAGGAATGGTTTTAAGAATGTCTTTAAGGAGGGGCTGGTGGACAGCAAGAAACTAAAGAAGCCACCTGGAAAGTAGGAGTTTGGGGTACAATGATTGTAGGTACTATTTAGAATATCTGCAGAACCAAGATAACATAGCGTCACTGATGGTGAATGAAGATACAAGAGAGCAAGGGGCAGTGGAGATAGGGAAAGCTGACCCTGACGCAAGAAGTTCCCCACTGTATCTGCAGAGTGGAAAGGGTCAAAGTTCAATCATGGGAAGAATCCTCTTCTCCACTCAGCCTTGAAAAACAGATTGATGCCAAGATACAGCTGGGTAATTCAGAGAGGATGACCCTGCTACAGATGGCCTACGATGTGCTGCTGTCCTCTAAAGACAAAGTGGAACATCTGGGGCTGGCACTGTGGCACAGTGGGTTAAAGCCCCGCCTGCAGGACCACCATCCCACATGTATACACTTTTGAGTCCTGTCTGCTCCACTTCTGATCCAGCTGCCTGCTAGTGTGCCTAGGAAAGCAGTGGAAAATTGATCAGGTACTTGGGCCCCTGCACCCATGCGGGAGACCCGGAAGAAACTCCTGGCTCCTGAATTTGGATCGGCTCAGCTTTGACCATCATGGCCATTTGGGAAGTGAACTAGCAGATGGATGATATCTCTCTCTCTCTCTCTCTCTCTCTCTCTCTCTCTCTCTCTCTCTCTTTCTCCCCCTCCCCCCCATTTCTACCACTCTCTGTAATTCTGTCTTTCCAACAAATCTTAAAAGGAAGTGGAACACACTATGGATAAATTCTTAAAAATTCCTGCAGAGAAAACTAAAATATTTTGATCCAGGCAATTGCTTGCTTAGACCACTGTCATGTTTTGTCTATCAAAACTTCATCAAAGTCACCCTAAGAGCCATTGGTCAATAAACCCTTGGTTCTGATGGAGGAGAAATGTCTCCCATGCTTTTCATTTCCATAGAATTCAGGGTCTCATTTATGGGGGAGCATGTTTTCCTCAACACACAGGAAACCCTCAAATTACCACCTTTTTCCTAAGAGCAAACTCACCATTCTTCCATTACTTAAGATGTCTAGGCAAACTGAAAAGACTTCATTTTGGTAACATCATGACACAAAATAACCTCAAGTTGAGCAAGAATCCCTTGAACATGATTCCATATGGGGGATTTATTACTTAGGGCATTTTGCAGCAAACTCAACTCCTCTTCTCCAGCTCACCCTCTGTCATTTCTCCAAGCAGGTCAAGAATATACAACCCCTTCCCCATTTATCCCCTAGAGAGATAGGTTAAGGCTTTAAGAATAACATGCACATGAGATGCCACCCATGAGAGGAGAACAAGGATCAGCATTATGTTTATGCTTCCTGTTATCACAAAATTATTCTTTTTTTCAAAAAAGTTGATTTATTTTTTATTTATTTGAAAGAGTTATGAAGAGAGGGAGAAACACACACACACATACACATGCAGAAATCTTCTATCTGCTGGTTCACTCCCCAAATGGCTGCAATGTCTGGGGCTGGGCCAGCCTGAAGCCAGGAGCTTCATAGGGGGGTCTCTCAAGTTGGGACAGGGGCCCAATTACTTCAGCTATTTTCTGCTGCTTTCCCAGGCCATTTGCAGGGAGCTGGATTGGAAGTGGAGCAGCCAGGACTCAAACCAGCGCCTATATGGGATGCCAGCGTCACATGGAGCAGCTTAACCCAAACACACAAAATACATGACATGATCTGAATTCTAGTAACTATTTCTTCATACTCACTTCACTGATGCCACTTTTTAAAAAATTATGCTTATATTTCCATTATGACATATGAATTCCAGGTTCTCACAAGTGTATATCATATTGTGCCTATAATATTCTTTTACAATCAAATAGTTATGTAGGAATTTGCTAATATTATAAGTAAAGTATTCCAAGGTAAGACTTTTTCTTAACAAAAAAAAAAAAAAAAGAAAAAATCTTTCTCAACAACGTTATGAACAGTCACACACTTGGGCATAGAGACAGGTGATTTGGGGAAAACCTGTGACACAGGCAGGCACAATAAATCTCTGCCACTTCCCTGTCACACACCTCAGCAGAGGCTCTACCCTCACCACAACTGTTGGCGTTGACTCTACTTGGGGTGTGAGTTGCCAATCTAGAAACATACTAATGCTTTAGAGAGAAAGGCAAATTATACAGCCATCGAATATCCCAAACAAATAAGAACTATAACTACAAATATAGGATTTCCTAAGAATTCATCATAGAGTATAGCTACTTGTAATTACCCATGAAGGGACATTCACACATTTGTATAACAAGTGACAATGCAGGACTTAGGGATGTTTCCATATGGATATCATAAATGTATTCCTAATCTTTGGTGAAGGCAGTGCTTATAAGAAGTAGCATGGGGCAGGTATAGTGTAGCAGATTAAGCCTCTGCCTGCAGTGCTGGCATCCTATATAGGAACTAGTTCAAGTCCTGGCTGCTCCACTTCTGATCCAGCTCCCTGCTAACGTGCCTGGGAAAAACAGCAGAAGATGGCCCAAGTCCTTGGGCCTCTTGCACCCACGGAGGAGACCTGGAAGAAGCTACTGGCTTCTGCCTGGCCCTGGCCATCTGGGGAGTAAGGCAGTATATGGAAGATCTCTTTCTCTCTCTCTCTTTCTCTCTCTCTCTTTCTCTCTCTCTCTTTCTCTCTCTTTTTCTTTCTTTTTCTTTCTCTCTCTCTCTCTGTCTCTCTGTCTCTCCCTCTCTTACTGTACCTCTGACTTTCAAATACACAAGTCTTTAAAAAAGGAATAAATACTTTTAATTAAAAAGTAAATATAATGATTAAATTCTTAATAGTCTAGGATTCTACCCAGATGGGAAAGAGCATTGCAAAATGTCTTAAATGGCAGAGACACAACAAGGACATTTCAATACAGGGACATTGGTCAGGTAGACACCCTCTTAGAAACGTACGTGGTCCAGACACAAGCCCCATGGCCCACTCAGCAGTGGAGAATCACTCACCTGTACGTGTAAGGACCTCTTTGCTTCACCTTAATGTTGCTGCTGTTTGCTACCACTTGGTCTGGATTTTGCACATCGAAGATCCAAAACTGTCTATAAACATCTGTGCCTGTTTTCACCCAGTTTTTAAAAGCAATTGTACCTTCCTCAAGGACAACTTCCTAGGAATAAGAAAAAATAAAATATGCAGGTTATTTCTTTGTAGTAAAGGCAGGGCCTGCTAGGAGCTTCTTTTTTATCACCTTCAATGAGCCAAGATGAAAGCCTCAAGTTCAAGGGTCTTGCTCATGAGAACCTCTGCGACTTTGACATGGACTTGGCAGTGGAACTGGTCTTTCTTTTCCTTTTAAAATATGTTATTTATTTGTGAGGCAGAGTTACAGAGAGAGGAGAGACAGAGAGAAAGGTCTTCCATCCACTGGTTCATTACCCAGATGGCCACAACAGCCAGAGCTGAGCAGATCCAAAGCCAGGAGCCAGAAACTTTTGCTGGGTCTCTCACATGGATGCAGGGGCCCAAGCACTTGGGTCATCTTCTGCTGCTTTCCCAGGTCATAGCAGAGCTTGATTGAAGAGAAACAGCCAGGATGCAAACCAGCATCCGTATTAGACGCTGGCACCACAGGCAGCAGCTTACTATGCCACAGCACTGGCCACAGTGGACATGGTTTTGAGGTACTAGGACCGTAACCCTTTTTAGATACCCTCTTGTGACAAGCATCTATGTGTAACCCTGAAGGCTGGATTGTGGATGTTAAAGCAAACCATTGGCAAATTCTAGAGTGACCCTGGGGGAACACTGCAATGGTCAGTGACAATTTAAAAGTGTATTCAAATTGTTCCAAAAACTTTTCAAGTTGAACATTAACTTCTTTTATGCCCCTAAATGAGTTTATTTAATTAAGCAGAACATAAAATTAAAGGATAAAAAATTGGAAACTTTTTCCTTTCTTGGATATTTCAGAAGCTTATGGCTTAGCATCTATTAAATGAAGACAATAAATACTTCTAGACAAAAAAAAATAAATAAAATTGACTTCTCCACTCAGAATCCTGCTCCATACAGTTTCTCCAACGCCTAATACATTTGCAGCAACCCGTTACTACAACAGTCTAATCCATTCTATTCTGCAAATGAAAAGATGAGATAGGAATATGTCTTCTTAGGTAAAATCTATTAAAATTCACAAAGTCTTGTACCAAATATAGACAAGAAGAAAATGCATCGATGATAGCATATAAAAACCCTCCATTAGAAATCTGGTTCTTTGCTTCAGGAGATTTGGGACCAAGTGGAAAGTCACCAACCCCCTTAGGGTCAATTTCATTATTTGCCAAATGAGGGAGTCACCATAGAGGCTCTCCCAGTGTCTTTCCTAGGTGCCGACTCTCAGAGCACAAAGTCTATGAAGCTATAGTAACCAATGCAAACAAAGGTGATTTTGTAGCCAGCAGTATTTCCAATTAAGTGCCCTGGGAAGCAGGCACAGGCAGGAGACCTGTGCAAGGGGAAAAGGAAGACAACCATTTCACAGAAACAAGCTTAAGGGGATCCATGGATCCAGGAACAAGCTGATCTATTTGTTTCCTTCTCTTGGAAGCATGAGTTCTTAGAACAATGGGTCAGGAAAAGACATCAAACCTAATCTTGTTTTTCAGTAGGGCACAATGAGGCTCTGAGGACCCAGGGAGGTGGCCCCAGAGTAACCTGGGCAAGGAGCAGTGGGTTCAGAAAATCCTCCTCTCTCCCCGTACTAGTCCTTTGTTACAGCAGGTCCCAGCTGTCTTTGTTTCTCCTGTCTGTCACCCTCTGCATATACTGGGTGGAAGCCAAATGAAGTTTAGTATCTTCAGCATATTCGATTGCTTAATGCTGAGTGTCAGGGAATTCCTCAGAGAACTACCAGGCGTGGTGTTAAAACGCAATTACAAAATCCCACGCCGTTGCGAAGCACTTACACTGTGTACACTGGAGCTGCTAAAGTAATGTTCAAATCTCTTGCTTTTTTGAGAACTTGTCTCTGGAAAACTTTCCAGTTGCTCTTCAAAAAGCTTGCTTCCATGCAACAAGCCCAAAATGAAGGCAAAATCACATGAAACCTTATAACCATTCTAAAGGTGAAGATGTTTGATGAGAGTGTTGATGCTGGAAACAATTTACCAATTTCAAGAGACTTTACAAAAGGGGAATTATGCAATTATTATCACACCATAAGGATCTTGGAACCTAAAGCAGTATCTGTAATTGACCACATGCCTCTCCAAGTTCACATGTTATTTCAGCCCCAACTTTGAAGAAAAACTCCGATTCCTATAGAATTCAATAGGGTCTGACATATATAATGTGTACTTAACTGTATAATTCATTTAAGACATGTAAGTGTTTTAGGCCTTTTTTTCCTTTATATCATTTTTCCTTATTATTATTTCCTTATTATCATTTTTCCTTTATATCATTTTGCCTTATTAGTTGCTGGAGATTTTTTTAATAGAAATGTTGAAAAAATGAATTGAAATGATATATGGAATTATATACTCTTAGAGTTAGCACCACCTTATTTTCAGAGGTTGAAAGGGGAGTTCATAGGAAAAACAAACGTCTGATTCATTGTTATGTGATGATTGTGTAGCAGGCAATGGAGATATCACAACTTCTCACTCCAGTATTGTACAGTTCCCATAACGCCAGGATTTGTTCAGAGACAAAAGGAAAAATATCATAGTGGTCAAAACAAATGCAGTTCTTCTTCTGATGACATTACTATGTGCCTTAGAAAACTGTGCAGTAGCTACTTGAACAACAAGACTAAATGTGTTAGAGGTTCCTTTAATCGTTAAGAGGAGTAAAAGAGAGACAGAGAGAAAGGTCTTCCTTTTGTCGTTGGTTCACCCTCCAATGGCCGCCGCGGCCGGCGCGTTGCGGCCCTGTTCACTGCCGCTGATTCGATGGGCT